AGAGCCCTTGACTTCGCCAGTGGGACACTTCGGCCTGCCCCAAGAAAACACTTGGTAAGAATGAGTCAGGGGAACTGCACCCCGATGGTGCTGCTCCACCTTAGATCTTCGTCTACCCAAGTATCTTGGCGGCATACCTTGGCCCTAGACCTCGGCCATGGTGCCAGGTCCCTTCGGCCTTGCCTAAGTTAACATAAGGGATTTGGGAGCCAGGTGAGCCCCACTTCGGACGTGTGACTCTGCCTCGGCTTCCAATGTCCCAATTACTTGAGGCGAGCATGCAAATAAATGAGTACTACGAATGAATCATGTGTGCCTTATGTATCGTGGTCTTGATTGTTTGGAGGGGCAAGGACCTCTCATAAAAAAAAAGAGAAAGAGGAAGAAGAAGAGAAAGAAAGGGGAAGAGACAACATGCACAAAGCACAATAGATACAAAAAATGGTTTCATTCATTACTCAGTTTCGGTCTTGTATAGCCTTTACAAAACGTTTTGTATTGCCTTCACAAAAAGAAAAAGAAGAAAACCAAACAGCAAAGTATTACAACAATTGAACAAAAAAAAGGGAAATCTACGCCTGCGCCTCATCGTTGGCCGGAGGGGGAATGGAGTCTTCGGCCGGTTGAGCCTCGGCGGGAGCATCGGGGATCACTTGTATCCCCTTGACGTCAAAATCTGGCAGCACCAGTAGGAGTGTCTTCTTGATATCTTCAATACCGTCGAGGTAGGACGATGAAGCATACTCCACTAGCGCATCCAGGTAGTTGGAGGGCTTCTTGTACACCTCCACCACCTCGGTCGCTGCCTTCTTTGATTATTCTACCGAAGCTAGGGCTTCGGCAGCTTTCGCCTCTACCTTGGCTGCCCGTCTCTCCGCTTTCGTGACGATGCTTTCCAGCCGAACTTGCTCCATCTGCTCGTTGGAGAGCCCTTGTTGCGCCTCCTTCAGCTGGGCCTCGAGGCGCTCCTAAACCGATTGCTCATCCAGGAGTGCCTTTCGGAATTTTTGGTACTTGTCATTAGCAGCGATAGCTGCCTTTTGGAGCTTCTCCTCGGCGGACTTCTTCTCCTTCTCTGCCTTGTTAATGTGAGACATGGCTAGTCTTTTTCAATCCCCCAAACCGATGAAGTGCAAACAGGCCCGCAACAAAACCAGTTAGCAAACAAAAGGGTATAGGGAGAGAAGAAAACACGAAGCCGAAGAACATTTTACCTTAGCCAAGTGATACAGGCCTTTGTCGTAAATCGCCTTGGGGTTGCTCTATAGTAGACGATAGCGATCCCTCGGTAGGATGACCCTACTCACCAGCTCCTGGCTGACCCCCTCGTCTTGAATGGAGTCCCCCTCTTGGAGCTACCATTGTGGGCTGAAGATCTTCCCGGCCCCCTCGGCTCTCTCGGGGCTGATGAAGGCCCGGATGGGCGCTCCCCGGGTGTGGACCTCCGCACCACCTACTCAGCATGCCTATCAGTGTTGGCCACCTTCTGCGGCGGGTCCTCCCTCGACGTGTCTACTACGGGCCTCTTCTTTGGCACCTCGGTCCCGGTGGTGGGCTTCTTCAGCGCCTCCATAAGCTTTTTGGCCTCCTCTGAGGGCCTCTTCACCCCACCAGCGACTTCCTGGGGTGCCACCACCAGTTGCTTCCCCTTGGTGGGGACTTGCAGATTTCCCCCCTTCGCCAAAGTAGGGGCAGATTCATTGCCAGACCCCTTCGGCGTTTGCCCTCTGGCTTTCTTCTCGGCCTGCTTCGCCCGAGCCTTCTCCAAAAAACGCTACTTGGCATCCATTGACACTTCTACGAAACAACAAAGGAAAACAGATACTACATTAAAGTGAAAAAGAAAAGAACGTGGAAGACGCACTAACCACGGAACCTATCCTACCGAGGGGGGTTAGACTAATCGAAGCAAGGACTAGGGGGACCTCCTCCTCCACCAATGGCTATGCCTGGAATGTCCCCATCACAAGCAGGTGAGCTACAGTTGCAGCCTCTTCGTCTCGGAGTTGTGGGGGACATCTCTTAACAATGATGCAGGCCTCCCCCTAGTCGGACCTGAACTGCCAACTCTCGGGGCAAGAGACATAAAATAACTTATCCTTCCACCTGTGGACGGATGAGGGATTATGCACAGGCTTCCCCCTTCTTAGGTGGAAGTAATACATGTTGGCCTCGGAAGCGTGCTTTCTCGGCGTGAACATGGTACGAAACAGCCTCAGCATCAACTCCACGCCCCTAAGCTGAGCCCACACCACCATCGCCACGATGGTCCTAATGGTGTTGGGTACGAGCTGGCTGATAGTGATGTCGTACCACTCCAACAACTCGAAGATTAAGGAAGGGAGGGGAAACCTAAGGCCAAACTCCAAAATATGCTAGTAGACACAGATTTCCCCCTCCTCGGGGCTCCACAGCCGATCGCCCACATCGAGGACCCTCAAGTCATAAGACTGGGTTATGTGGAACCTCCTCGCCAAGGATTTGACCTGGCACATGTCCAAGGAGCTATCAAACTCCGAACGCAAGACACCAGCATCAGCCACCCTTCGAGCAGCACTCCCTCCCACTGGTTTGGTGACGACTTCTACAACATCATCCTTGGAGAGAGGAGATCCCTCGGGCTCCCTCGGTGACGCCGAGGCGACACTTTCATAGGGAGAGTCATTCCCCTGGTGACTACCCTCGGTACCCCCTGAGGTTAACCTTTCCTTGATGACAACCACCTCCCGACGAAGGGGCACTATAGCTAAGGAACCCAGGGAAGACAGGGGAGAGAGGGTTGCAGGAGAGCTCCCTCCCGAGATGTTCGGGAGTTCATGGCATTCAAGGCCGGACTTGGAAAACAACATATTTGATTACCTAAGAGAGGGTGAAATGTCCCGAAGAGAGGAAGAAATAAGAAAGTCCTGGAGAATTGAGAGTTGGGGAGCTGCGTTCACTTGAGAGCAAGGGCGTCTAAGTTCAAATAAAGGAGAAAGTCACTGTCAGGGTCCCTATTTAAAAGAAAATGGACGGCCTGAACCTCTCTGAATCCGACAGATAAGACAAATCCACTCCCACCGTCCAACTATGATGTGCCACTCGACGCTCGGCCTCGGAAGACGGAATGACACCCAAAGCAACGGTTTAGATCGATGCGAATCCAACGGATGCAGGAGCCCTCCATTTTGCGAACCAGTTCCACCGCACCTCCTAGTGCATGCCCTCGGAAGGCGAAACGGCGCAGGGTGGACCACGAAAATCGCCTGTGACAGCCCGTTGAGCGAATCGCAGGGCCTGCTCATCGCGAACCACTGGGCAGACCGTTTAACCCGGTGAACGCACGACTACTGGAATAATCGTCCCCTACACGGTAGCCCCCTAACGTGGTCTGCCCATGCATGATACCAAACACCTCCACAAAACCAAGGCATCCACACCACACACATTTCCGAATCAAAGAGGGACGACGCACACAGCGAAAACGATGCCACTGCAGGACACCCCTCGGCTGATGAATCCGAAGGTATAACGACCACTACTCCCAACGACCGAAGCCGATGCCTTACCTCGACTGCTACCCTCGTTGCCAGCCAAAGCCAAGGCCTCGCCTCGGCCTCGGGAGTGGGGGGAAAATGATGTGGGTTAGCTTGGCCCAGCCCATCGCAGGCTAGGGGGCCCAACCCACTAACGTTTGATAGCGTCAACTACAGTAGGAGGGAGCCTTGCTGCCTTCTTACGAAGCCAACCGCATGACGATCAGACATACCCACCAGGGCTTGCCGCTTGACCTCGTACGACACTCATCCGGGGTGTTCATCTTCACCTACCTCCAGCACACTCAAGTATAAATAAGAGGTAACTCCCCCTTAAAGGAGATCTAGAACAAAAAATCCTAAACACAGCTTACTCATTTACTCCCTGCACCTACCTTGCTTCCTTAACATTTAATCTGGGAGATCTGGTGCATCTGAGGACTATCACCAAGGCCTCGCCTGCACCCTCTCCTACTTTACACCTCATACTAAATTGAGCATCAGAGCCTCTACCTTGGGTACCCGCCTGAGGCCTTTGACATTCCCTGTCTTGTAATACATCTGGTCAACAGGAACCTCACCTCGGCCTACACTCCTCGACTACCACGGTCTTCGGAAGGAATACCTCACATCGGCACGAAGTCCTCGGCTTCGGCTCACCTTTTCCGAGTCATCGAAGTCCTCGACAATGGAGAGTGAATTTACCTATATATATAGGCACCCTCAGTGAGGGCACCGTTCGCGCAATTGGAGGATGTGCCACACGTCCTCCAATTCATGTAAACGGTTGAAGCATGCGAAGGATGCTTCACGCCGTTAGTAAAGTGAAACTCATCCTCCACCTCTAGCATCTCATTCTCTCTTTCTTTCTCTCTCTCTTGTCTTCCCCTCCCTTTTCGTCTTATTCTATTCTCTGTTTTGTCCACTGCCGAGATCTGGAACACTCCCCTGTTGAAGAAGAAGCACAGCAGCGGCAGACCGGCAACAATACTTCGATCGGCTTTTATCCCTCTTAGGAGGCGGTGGGACAAGCAGTAAACCCAGGCAAGCACTGAGGGTGCCTGGACTGAAGCCGAACTCATCAGGTATATCCAATGGCCGAATAGGAGTAGGAAAGTCGCGATAATCCAGTAGCAAGGCAAAGTAAGACCGAACGCTCCCATTAGCCAAGACTATTGCTCGCCACTCGAGCATGTGAAGCCCATAAGCTGGCGGGGGAGGACCGATGGCAGCGGGGTCCGAGAACGATAATGGAGCTCTGGTGGCAGGCCCCGCCGACGGAAAGGGACCTAGTCCAGATGGATGGATATGATCGAGAGGGAACTTAGACGAGCCTGGTATGGCGTCCTCCTTAGTAACTGATGAGGGTTTTGCTGATTTGGTATTGCCGGCGGCACCAGGATTAAGGTCAGAGTTAGTAGTATTGCCAGATTCCCACCTGGATTTCCGGTTAGACGAGGATGAAGATGACTTGTGGGAGGAACCCTTGGGGTTATTTCCCGTCATCTTCTGGTTGACGGGGCACGTGGTAGGGGAATTGGCTCTGGCTGTGCGTTCTGCAGTACTCCGCCGCCCATACATGACTTTTGGCAGTTGATCAGAGCATACAAAGCACCATCCAATTTCTCCATCTCACTGCAGCCATCCTCTTCTTCCCTTTCGCATGCTATGCGCTTTGGTTGCATCGATTTTGAAACCAAAGACCAACCACTGGGCTTTGATTGTGCCTTTGGCCCTGATACAAACGACAATACAGACTGGAACACCGAGACAGTGATCGCTTCTACTTCCTTCAGCACGTTAACAATGGCCACAAGGTCAAGATCTTTGCTAATGAAGAGAGCAAAGGAGGTGTGCTTCTCCATCTTCTTCAAATCTGCTAGACATTTGTGGATGGTTTTATTAATCTTCTTCCTGAATGTCATGTAAGCACCAACTTGGGTTGCCAAACCAGACTCTCCGCTTCGTTTCCTCCGGAGAGATGATTCAAGTTGTTGCAGAGATTCTTTGAGCTGTGACAAAACATCCCTAGTGGTGCCACAGATGTCCAACAACCTGAGAGATCCGTCCAACACCTCGTCTGCCCATTTGGGGTGGGAGAGAGCTTGGTGATGATTGTTTGTCGCCGGCGGTGATGGTTGTGCAATCGCCGCAGCCGGGTGGATGACTACATACAAAACCATTAGGGTTAGTTTTGATGGAAGAAAAGAGGTGCAAAGAAGAAGAGATGCAAAGAAAACAACACCTGAGGTTGATTCCGCCGCTGGTGATGATTGTTTGTCGCCGGCGGTGATAGTTGTGCAATCGCCGCCACCGGTCAGATTGGGAAAGAGAGTGAGGTTCGTGGAGAGGAGAGGAGCAAAACTCATGTTTTACTTACCTAGCCTCACACACTTCAGCCCCTCTCGATTCGGAGGACATGTGGTGCATCCTTTGGATGTGCGAACATTTCTAGACATGACATTTTTTGAGAAGTTACTATTAAAGTCTATAGTCCACTACCACCATTCAAACAAGTGGCATTCTCATTTTTTGGAAAGCTAAACACGTGGCAATTTATGAGAAATTCTTGCTAAAGCCCACAACCCATTACTAGGCTACAACCCCCCATCATTTAAACACGTGGCCTTTTCATTTTTCTGGAAAGCTAGACACGTGGCGTTTTTTGAGAAGTTGCTACTAAAGCCTACAGCCCACTACCATCACTCAGACACATGGCATCCTATTAGTTCAAGAAATATGATTCAAAGAATGAGTAGTTTTACTTTTAAACATTCTTAATAGAAAGTTATTTAATAGCTTAACACATGTTTATCCATAATCTTTTAAATATAAATGGTGGGATCCATTAAAAGATTATCATAAACCCACATTTGTTTTTAAATGATTTTTTTTTCTGAAAAGAAAATACTTTATTAATTACAAACTTCATTTAACTTTTAGGAAGCAACCTAATTTAACTTTTAAATAACTCAAAATAGATTTATTAGATAAATAGTAAATTCCAAATAAAGTGGGTTATTGTTTACGAATAAGATCTCATTTAATATCTTAAATCAAATTAAAAAAACATAAATTAATAATGAGTTTCAAATAAAATAGGTCAGAATAGATTGTTAATTACAAAGATGCAAGACCCATATTATTTTTTTTAATTTAATTTATGATAACTAAATAGTAAACTTCAAATTAAATTATACACACATTTAGTTGCCTTGTACTTAGTACGGAGTCATTCTCTAGTTATCATTATTGAAAAACAAGTTTTTAAAGGATATCTTTCATTATTTTTAAGAGGGAGAGTAAACAAATAATAGGTTCCATGGGTAGACCTTGAAACCGACCCTGAAACCACCAAGGCCAAAAATTACCCTAGGACCGATCTTCCTAGAGTAGGTTCCGGTTCCAAAAACTTATAAGGGTCGGTTCCAGGTTTTGCCATAAAACAAAACTGAACTGGCCCATGCTCACCCCTAATGTCAATGGACAAATGTTTTGAACTCCATTTGGGCAAATACAAAATATTCTATATTTGGTTGGCCCAAACCATCTGTTGTTGGCGGTGAGAATTTCATTTGCAAATTTTTCATCAGCCTTTTAGACAAATGAGTGCAAATGGGACAAAAAGTGCAAGTCTTACATAGGAGTGATCATGGGCTGGGCTGGGCTGGGCTTAGCATCAATAATAAGGCTTTAAGCTAGGCTCGTGCCTACACCCTAGGCCTAGATAATAAGCACAAGCTTGGCTTTAGGCCTATGACTTTAAATAATAAAAAATTAATAATTTATATTTTTTAATGTACTAACATGTAAATGTAATACAAAAAAAAAAAAAAAACACAAGTAAAAGTTAAATTGGGCTTTCTAGGCTTTAGGCATGGTCTTACTTTAATTGCTAGGCTTGATTTGGCGTGAGTTACCTACCTTTTATGGATGATCATTCCCATTCTTGATCAATGTGGGACTTAGAAGTTTGGAACAACACTAGAGGTGTCAATTAGACGGATTTAGTCCAATCTGATCCAGTCCAATGTGAGTTCACTTACAAATGGACTAGACCTAACCTAGCCCAAATCTAATACAAACCAAATCCAATTCGAACCGAATGAAATATAAAAAATTATATAAAATCACTTTTGGCATTGAAAAAACACTTTTGTAAAAGTACTTTGATAAAAGTATTTACATAAAAGTGCTTTTACAAAAGCACTTTATTGAAAGTACTTCGTAAAAGTGCTTTTGTAAAAGCACTTTTAGAAAAGTACTTCCATAGACTTTTATAAAAGTACTTTTGTAGAAGTGCTTTTGTAAAAGTACTTTTGTAAAAGTGCTTTTGTAAAGTACTTTTAAGTGCTTTTGTAAAAGTACCTTTATAAAAACTTTCGTAAAAGTGCTTTCATAAAATTTCTTTTGTAAAAATGCTTTCGTAAAAGTACTTTCATAAAAGTGATTTTATGTTTGCTTCAGTTTTGATTAATTTCAAATTGAAAGGTTTTGGCCTCATGATCGAATTATTGAAAATTTGGTTTAGATCCAATTCAAACCAATAAGAATATGAACCAATTTATTTTGAATTGGCACAAACCAATAATTATAATGGACCATCCAAGTCCGATTTGATAAGGTTTGGTCGAATTTGATCCAAACCAAAACCGATAAATTAACACCCCTAAACAGCACTAAATAGTTAGTGCAATCATTGAGTGTTTGCCTTCTTTTAATATAAGGCCTTACTTATGAGGACAATTTTCATAATTGAATTGACTAAAGTGTTGACATATGTATTGATACAATTCAATTCATAAATATTTATTTATATGTTAAAATAAAACTTGAAACTTTTATATTTTATATAAAATAAAATATATTTGTGTATATAATATATAAAATATAATACACATTATAATACATAAAATATGTATATTATATATTTAAAAGCATATACTGTATTATATTAGGGGCCAGACCAGGCCGAGCCAAAGCTTAGCTTGGAATTTTCTTGGTTTGATGCGGGCCTGGGCCCGGGCTGGGCATGCACAAAAAAACCTGGGCCCAGGCTTGAAAATTTGCAAGCTGGGCCATGTTGGGTTTCTGGGCCAGGCCAAGAATGATTACCCCTAACACAAGGGGTAAAAGTGCAAATCATGGTAACAAACAAATCGATGCAAAACTGAATTAGGTGCAAATTTTTATCTTATTTAGATTTGCACTGCAAACAAACCTGCAACTTGGATTGATGCAGTAAGAGCCCAACCTGTTTAGGTATATATGGTTAAAACCTAATTTACATTATTGAGTTCTGATTGAATTGTTGGCCCAGACTCAGTTAGCTCCCACTAGATATTGGTCCAACAGGGTTGGGCCCGGACCCACGTTTGTATAATCAGATAGGCAATCATTCACTATTCTATCCCTATATTTTAGGTTTCAATGTAATATTAATGATTTCAGAAGTTTTCTGATAAAACCATTAAGGACTAGCATCCTTGATTATAGAGATCCGAACTTGATTCCTTTTAGTGACAAGTGAAAATCCGGCCTGAGCCCGGCCCGACCCGGCTCATAACAGGTCTAGGTCTAGGTGACAACTCTATTTCCAACCCAAGTAGCTAGTGAGCTGGTTTTTCTGACGTTTACAACTATAATTATAAAAAATACTTAATTTTTATTGAAACCGTGAGACACAGTTTGACTTGCAAAAAACCGAATACAAATTGAAATCAGGTCACATAGGACCCATTTCTACTGTCTTCTTTGCCCGAACGCTAATACGGGTCCTGTGATGACCCAAATGCTTTTTTTTTTCATTTTTTCACTTTTTTCTTTTTAATATACTTTTTTTACCTATTATATAATCGTTTTGTAATCCTTTCCAACATATTTCAATGAAAAATCAATATGTTATAAGTGACAGGTGCAAGAATATTTTGTGTTTTTTTCTTCTCGGTATGTATCGTTTTTTATTCACCAACCATTTACAATCATCACCAATATTTTTAAACGGAAAAAAAAAATCTAATGCACACCTAGAATGAGCAAGCAAACGGGAAGGAGTAAATTGACACTGAGATGTTTCTTGAATGCTGGATGCACTCTTAATGATGCTGTGGCAAGGAGAGGGCTGATTGAAATACACTGAAGAACAGGGGACGAACCCAAAAGTTTGGCACGTATGTAAGAAGATAGTTTAAAAGAACTTAGAGAAAAAAAAATGAAACAAAAGTTTGGGACGTCTGTAAAAAGTAGTTCAAAAGCATAGAACGTCTGTAAGAAGAGTGTTTTTTGTAAAGAACTTTTTTGAAGTCCGTTGTAAAGATGTGGGTAGGGGTGTTCACGGGTTGGGTTGGGTCGGTTTATTGAAATTTTTCCAACCGATCCAACTTGGTCGGGTTAGCTAAGGTGGGAACTGAAACCGACCCACTGACAGGCCAAACTGACCTGGTCGGTTTGAGTCGGGTTGGGTTGATTTGGGTCGGTTTTGGTTTTGCTCCTGTACAAAACCAAATAAAATCTGAATTAGTTGATAATTTGATATTCAAGAGTCCAAGATAAAATATATTTATTTAATAGTTTTAAATATAAAATATATTTAAATTAAAACCGAAATATATACTTAAATTTTTAAATAGATTAGGTTTTTCATAAAAAACTGAAGTTTTTTGTGCAAATATATCATCATTAACTGGATTTTTTTCAAAGTTTAAACTTAAACAAAACACAAATAAAATATATCAACTTGTAACATSCATTAAATTAAAAATAAATAAATAAATACTAACCTTTGAATGACTGAAGTTGAGACTTTGAGTCTTTGAGAATGAGACTTGAGCAGTTGAGCTTGAGGGGGGCAGACCAACCAAGTTAGAGAATAGACGATTTTAAGAGAAGACAAAAGTGGTCAATAAAATAAAAAATTAGAAACCTTCTAAATTCTAATCTAGGTAAAAAACTAAAAAAGAACACCTAATTGAATTCTAATTGTAATTGCCTAATGAGCTTTCTAGAGTTCTAGTTTTAGTAGAAGTCTAAAAGTAGAAGACTAGTAGGAATTAGGAAACTACTCAAACTAGGAAGTAGGAACTACCAAACTAGTAGAATACTAGTTCGGTTCGGGTCGGGTTGGTTTTGGTTTTCATGCAAGAAAACCGAAACCGACCCGAGATTTCGGTTTATGTATGTGCCCAACCCGAAACCAACCGGTACGGATGAAAACCCGGCCGACTCGGGTTGGGTCGATCCGGGTTGGTCGGTTTGGTCGGGTTGGGCATTCTTATGAACAGCCCTAGATGTGGTAGGAGATGCATCGAAGTGCTTCATGTCCTATTATAATATTATAATAGGGTGGTTACATTGGCAAGTCCATTAACTC